CGTGCCAGCCTTATAAATCCGGCCCCGCTCTTATCTGACTCTTATAGTTGTGTTTAAATCAGGTTTACATGCTCAGCCCTCATTAGCTGATTGTGTGTATAATTTACAAGTCCACTCAGATTCTTACAGAAGACATAAAAAAAACACATAAAAGAAAATGAAGTGCAGAGCTAGTCATGCATTTCCTTCATCTGGTCAAGTCGGCTACTTTTAGGCAGCGACTCTTCCTCCTGATTTCCGCTCTGAGGAAAAGTTCAGTGCACTTCCTTAGAGGCAGCAGTGCTGTGTGAGATAAAAGTGAAGAGATGACACGCAATACAGGTCATTAATGGGATTTGGACCCACAGTCTTGTGAGCACATGCTTTGCCTCTTAGCCCATTGAGCCGTGAGGACACCCCAAATGGTGTTTTATCTCTGGGCCCATTGAGGATCAGTATTGAGCTGACAATCCTTGTCCTCTATGGAAGTGGCCTTTTACCTTAGCCCATTGTAGTTTGTGACTAGGAGCCTGCAGTATCTTGCATCTATTGATTCCCACTTCATCTGGACCTGAGCAGCAGGGGGAGAGAGGGGAGAGAGACGCTGAGTGACTGAGGGGAGAAAAGGTTTGAAATGAAGTAAAATGCCCCCTTAAAGGGTAAAAGGGATTAAACTTGTTTCACGAGGACTGCCGTTTTACGAATGTCCTTCGGCTTTCTGCAGCCGAGTCACTGAATGCAGAGATAGATTTTCTAGCTTTTCAACATTTGCTCATATCGATTGAGTTATTAAAGAAATGAAGAGTTTTTGTGTGAAAGGAAATGATGGTTTAGCGTCACTAAGAGAAAGAAAATCTGGAAGATCTGGATATCTGAACAGCAAGGAAAGTAAAAATAAGGGCATCAAGGATTTAAACGGTTTGAATCTCAGCTGAAGCCTTTTTCTGTGGTTAGCCTGTTTTGCTCGTGCACGTGTGGCTAAACCCTCGCCTGAGCCTGCAGGTTTACATTTGCTTTTAAAAAAGACAACGTTAACTGGTCAAAAACTAAATTACCTGCCGTATTAATTAGTCAACTGTCATTACACCCCTACATGTTATATAACGTTAAACGTTAAAGAAACCGTGGGTTTTATCTGGCAGGTGGGTGGAGCCTCTGAAAAGTTGCCAGTATATTTTAATGTAGATTAAATGGATATTTTGTATTTATCAGCGTTTAACAAGAAATGAGCTGCCCCCTAGTGGCCACATCTGGGTATTAGTGCCTGTTGATGGTTGCTAAACAACCATTTTTAGGGCTTCTTGCCATATTTGTGGCTTTTTTCAAGGCACTCGAGGAGTACAGACGCTTCTCTCTTTCGCTCCCTTATCTTTTTTTTCCCCAAGACTTTTTGTCCTGTCTGCCCACAGAGCGCTTCTCTGCATTTCTTCTGAAAAACTCTATTTTTTACTAACCATGGATTTGATAAACTGGTCATTCAATGCGATTGATACGATTTTTTCAACAATGAGAACGGAGCAGGGGGCTCCCACATGTCCACAGGGGACACACCCGGTGGGACATATGCTGGATTCCTGGAAGGAGTGGAAGATCATATGCCTCTCCCAGCTGTACATTGAGGATATTGAAGATGTGTGGATATTCGGCCTGATGATCACTGGATTTCTCCTGAATGGAGTGGGAGCATATCTGGTTTTCTGGAAATTTGGGAAGACGGGAGCGATTGGAGGGCGACCCGCACCCACGGAAAGCACCGTCCGTGTGGAGACTTCTCAGACTGGGACGTTACTCGAGGTGAATTGTAAGCTGGACAATGTTCTAGCTGCGATACCGGTATTAGTGCGCAAAATGGATGTCATCTCAGAGAGAGTCACCAGACGATATGGACAAGTTTAAAAACCCAAAATTGGCTTCACTGAAGGACTGGAATGATCAGTTTAAAGACTGAAGGCAAAGAGGAAAATTATCTCAGCCTGACCCAAACAAAGTCTTGTTATCCTAATCTGATGCCCTGGTCGCCTTGAGCGGCGAGCAACAAGCCCCCACGAAGGAATGCAGACAGATGCTGTGAAAACCTGACCCCCCCCCCCCCCCCATTGATTGATTGATTGATTGATTGATTGATTGATTGATTGATTTTAGAATCAATTTAGCAGGAAATAGCTTTAACCGATACTGCACACGCCTTGTGCACACATATTTGTAAATTCAAATCAAACTTTCCTAAAATTGTTAAATATGGAAAACATTAGTTAAAAGTGCTTTAATGAAAATCTTACTATCTACTTTTTTTGTTGCAAACATTATGAGAGGTCGATTGCCTCACTTATGGATTCAACCTCATGTGGTCATTCAATGAACTGCAGTTTGTAAAATAGATTTTCCAATTGACTTCATTTCTCTGTCATGGAGAACGCAGTTTTGACTCTTCTAGCCATGGCGTTATGTCACTACTGCAGCAGCCAGTAAATAAACCAGACAGGAGAAATGGGACAGTCAGAGCATGTGCTTCCTGCCAGCCAACTGACTCGATGTTTTGTGACATGAACAAAACCAGTCAGTGCCATTAGGTGGATCGAGTGACGGATCTATAAAGGAGTGAAAGTGGTAAAAGGTGGTGACAGGAACAGAAAGAGGTTTGGAAAAAGGGACAAAATGGAAATTATAGATAGATGGGGCGAGGCATGAAATATGGAGCGATTGGGACAAAGGGACAGAAGAAAAGTAAATTCAGAGAAAGTGAGATGAGACGATCCATCTTGGCACATTAGGGAGGGTTCAGGTCTGCATTCCATCACTGCTGTCTGGAAGATGCACACCTCTCTCCTCCTCTTCATCCACCCATCCCTACTTCACGCCACCAGCCAATGTTTCACTGAGGAATCTTTGCTAAAAAGTCCCGCCAGACCCATTTTCTTATTGTCTAGGTGTCTTCTGTCCTCCATCCCCCGTCACCTTCTCTGGTCATGGCACCTTCCCTGGTGATCCCAGAATTAAAGGTTCCCTTGTTGCACCACAGGATGAGCCTGGGTCTGGGCTGTGAGGTCCAGATCATAACAAGTGTGTGTGTGTGTGTGTGTGTGTGTGTGTGTGTGTGTGTGTGTGTGTGTGTGTGTGTGTGTGTGTGTGTGTGTGTGTGTGTGTGTGTGTGTGTGTGTGTGTGTGTGTGTGTGTGTGTGTGTGTGTGTGTGTGTTGCAGCGCAACATTAATCATCTTTAACGGGCTGACAAGCTTTGGTGTGGGACATCGCATCACATCAACACTCTGCTCCCTTCTTCACTAGATATATCTGTCCATTCCTCCATCCCTATCACTCACTTCCCTGTGGGAACGGCTGGCAAACGGAAGCAGAGGTGGAGACACGGAGGAGAGACGTGAAGTGGGATGATGGGAAAAGACAGAATGCAAAAAAGCAAACAAGTGGAAACAATTGAAGATGGAAGAAAATAATATTTTTAGAGAAATTTATTTTTTCATTCTGGGTTTTATGCATTGCTGAACATTTAATTGGGACTGTATTTGTGTTGGTTAGAAACAAGTTTAAAATTGTGACTTTATTTATCAAACAAATGAAATCTAAAACCAGTTATTTCTTTTAATTTTTATGTTTTGTTTTGCAGGATTAATTCCAGTTTAGAGTTTTAAACTTTTGTGGCATTTTTCCAACACCACAAACGTCTGTGGATTTTTGTTGAGTGCTATTTGCACATTTGATTTTTTGAAAGTTTTCTGCAACATTCTGTGATAGTCTAGGCGTTTATGTGGAATGCATGCATGTCTGTGGGTATACTGGTGATTTAGTTCATTTATGAGGGCAGAATTCACAACAACACAGTGTTTATTGTTGCTCTCCCCTTGTCATCTGCACATATCTACATTTTATTTAACATTTTATCAACAGAAAAAACCCTATTCATACACAGTTCAAAAGAAAATAGCAATTTTATTGAAATGCACCCAATAAAATCAAGCCAAACATTTGTGCTTTCTGATATTGCAAAAGCACAAAAATGCAGGTATTTATTTGTGTAATCGTGTCCCAGCTACCTAGAAGCAGACCCATTGGCTGCAGACGGGGATTGGATCTTTCTTTGTTTGCAGCAATAAGTGGAGACAGCTTCTGCAGGACTCAAATTATCTTGTCAAGGGAATAAAGGAGGATGCAGGCTGATTTGGGGTGGGGTGGGGGCTCGAGTGAAAGAGATGGAGAAACAGGGAAGGAAAGGAAATCAAAATGGGAAAGCTTATGCATGTGTGCAAGGGTGTTATGGTGGTGTGTAAAAGAAAAGGAGAACCAAAAAAGACTTCGTATACCTGACCTCCTTTGTTACCAAGGTGACAAGCAGTCCAAACAGGATGTTCTGGCCAAGCCAGAAGCCTTTGTTCAGGAGCTAAATACAACCCTTTCTATTAGATAAATACAAGAAATCAGGAAGTGTCCTCCAAAATTAAGTGCTGATACAATTTCCGTAGCAGTTATTTTTAGCAGCCTGACCTGAAGGAGCTTTCCAGCGAGCACACACACACACACACATACACACACACACACACACACACACACACACACAGTGCTAGAACACAAACAGGTGGGCCCCACCCTGTTGCTCTGCTGATCAAGGACAATGAAGTGAGGTAGTGTTGGCAGACTCTATGCAGCATTATCTCATCTGTCTCACTCACTTCTTTAAGTCTGCCACCTCCCCCTACACACACACACACACACACACACACACACACACACACACCCTCAGCTCTGACCTGAGAACATTACACAATAAAGATTACACAACAATCTGTTCCTTGTTTGGGATGTATGTAGTCTAACACACATGCACTTAATGGCTGGGGTTTTATAGAGTGTGACAAACGGTTTCAAATGTTGACATTTTTTAGCAAACGGTTCCAAAGTTACCGGATCCTAAACTCCACGAACAAAGTTTTTGGGTTTTTGTTTTTTGCTTGATCCTTGTTTATCCAGACATTGTTTTGATGCTTTTTCTTTTCTGTTTGTTGTCTCCAGGCAAAAAGAAGATGTCTCTGTATGACAGCCAGGCTCCTGTTTGCCCCATTTGCCAGGTTCTGCTCAGGCCCGGAGAGCTACAGGAGCACATGGAGACAGAAATAGAGAGGCTAGCTGCCATATGCCTCAGGTAGGAGAGAAATCATCATCTTCTAAATAAATGAGAAAAATGTTTATTGAATTTTTTGTCTCATATGAAAAGAAAACAACAAAGAACCATACGTTGGTTAACGGCAGGTTCATTTAGCCACTGAGGCACGTCTGCAGCTTTTCTGTCACACTCATTCATTGACCCATAATTCTCCCATGCATAGATTTGGATGTCATAAACCTGCAAAAAATGCAGAAGCTTCCTGTCAATGTAAAGCTAAGTGTTTCCTACAGGGATTAGGATTCCCACCTGTGACCTCAAGTTCATTGCTGCCTCCTTCTTCTCCGCGTGGCAGTCGCACGAGCCGTTTTACGACGGATAAATCAACCTCAAGCCCTTTTAACGATGGGACAAAACCATTAGGATCCATATTTCACCTTGACCGCATGCCTGGCTCTGTGTGTGTGTGTGTGTGTGTGTGTGTGTGTGTGTGTGTGTGTGTGTGTGTGTGTGTGTGTGTGTGTGTGTGTGTTGATGTGACCCAGCATTCACTTTAGTGGCCCAGCTTTACGATAGTCCCCATTAACCTGGAGAAACGGGGCACCAGACAGTGTCACCCCACATGGAAATCACACTTTATTCCACCAACAATGACGTTTGTTGGAGCCCCGCTGCACCTGCAACTCTATTCTTCATCACCCCCATCACCCTCATCATCACACTCTTGTTTTCTCTTTCATTCTTTCATCTCCAGTCCTTCATCTCTTTCAAAAATCACTTAAAATCATTTAAAAGTATCTAACAAAATAGGAAAGAAGGAGCAAACGGCAACGTGTGTGCTTGTGTTTTAATTAATAATGAAGGTTAGACTCTGTCCTTCCCTCTGGATGCTAAACTGGGTTGGCCCAGACCACACACACACACACGCGCGCGCACACACACACACACTCAGTTATTTAAGGAAATCACATCATCCCTGGGTGAGATGGGATGGTGGCTAACGTCACGCCTGACTGATTTACCTACTCACCATTAACCCAAAGACACACCGCCAGAAAAAATGCTTTTACTGTTGAGAGGATGAGTCGGTTCTTGTCCTGCTTTAGATGTTGCATTTGAAATCCAGTTTTTGTGAAGGAATTCAATCATTTTGTGTTTTATGTTCCAAAACTCAGCTCATACTAAACCGCGCACACACACCCACTGCCTCCTCCGGTCTCTGGCTCTCTGCATGGCCTCAGCCATCATTGAAAGTGACAGTGGGAATTTGGTTCAATTTGTAGAAAATCTGTCTTTAATGACACCCAGCGCTTGTTGAATAAAAGAGCCGTGGAAACTAAGTATGTGCATATGTGTGTGTGTGTGTGTGTGTGTGTGTGTGTGTGTGTGTGTGTGTGTGTGTGTGTGTGTGTGTGTGTGTGTGTACCACTTCTGCCTGGTTTAAATATCTGTTCTTGTGCATGTTGCCATTTGTTTTCTATTTCGTCTCCTCTCCGTCCTGTCCTGCATGTAAATGTGTGTGTTTGTGTGCATATGTGTGTGTGTGTGTGTGTGTGTGTGTGTGTGTGTGTGTGTGTGTGTGTGTGTGTGTGTGTGTGTGTGTGTGTGTGTGTGTGTGTGTGTGTGTGTGTGTGTGTACCACTTCTGCCTGGTTTAAATATCTGTTCTTGTGCATGTTGCCATTTGTTTTCTATTTCGTCTCCTCTCCGTCCTGTCCTGCATGTAAATGTGTGTGTTTGTGTGCATATGTGTGTGTGTGTGTGTGTGAGAGAGAGAGAGAGAGAGAGAGAGAGAGAGAGAGAGAGAGAGGGGAGGGGGGGAGAGAGAGAGAGAGAGAGAGAGAGAGAGAGAGAGAGAGAGAGAGAGAGAGAGAGAGAGAGAGAGAGAGAGAGAGAGAGAGAGAGAGAGAGAGAGAGAGAGAGAGAGAGAGAGAGAGAGAGAGAGAGAGAGAGAGAGAGATTGCATCTGCCAGCTCGTCGTCTCCGGTGACTCTGAGCTCTGTCACTTGTTCATGGGCCACAGCTTCTGCACGGACATGGGAATCACACACAGACATGAAGTTCGGCAAATGGGAATCTATCATACCCTGTCCATGTCAGGTGGCTTCGAGGGGGGCAAAGTAATCTACATATACCCCATCAACCCCTCCTCCTCCTCCTACCTCTGCCCCTTTCTCCCTCCACCCCCATAATCAATTTGCCTCCACACAGCCGAGGCCCCCACCTCTCCACCAGATGACACAAAAAGGCAAAAAGCAATCAGTATCTTCTTCTGCTCTGCCTTTCCTTTCTTTCACCAAGGAATGATTTATTCAGCTTCATGCCAGCTTTAACCTCACTTCTCTGGACTGAGGGGAAGGTTTTCAGTCAGGCTGTCTCCATTAGTTCAGGCTGAATTCAAATTTAAGAGAATAAAGGTTGATGGCAAACAGAACAACTTTGCAGATCAAATCATTTCAAAGTCCTACCATGACTGCATTGTATTACATACACCAGCTGATGTAATCTGTCCATCTGAAATTTGAATTTGCATTTCACTCTAATTGTTTTCACCATACTTTACTTTTTCTAAGTTTTTATTTTGAAATCAAGATTGGAATTCAGTTTTTAAATGCATTAGTGTTGCTGTAGGATTAGAGGTGTGCAAAGAATTAGTAAACATCCTGTTAATGTGAATGTTTCTATTTTCAGAAAGTAAAACGGTGTTGTTCCTTCGTTGGTTTAAGTAGTTCAGGCATTTGTTACTAAATGAAGGTCAAATGACAGTTTCACCCATAATTCTAAAACGTGCAGCCTCTCTCGGGTCGTAAATTGCAAGGAAGTGTGACACTGTTCACTTCAGCAGAGGAAGTTTTCCACTCATTGGAATTCTCAAAATATTAATGAATTTCAATTTGGACACAACTCTGTAATCTTAAGGTACAACCATTTTAAAATGAGATACTGATAATATCCATAAAGGATGTGGAGATCGAAGTGCAAATTATGTTAAAAAAAACTGTAAAAGGTTTCAAGCTGAGGGGCTAGGAAATAGAAAACCCAACAGAAGAGCCCAAACAGCACGAACAGCTAAAGAAAACCGGACTACTTGTGCAGGGAGGAGGAGTAACAGGTGAGTGCAGCACAGGTGAGAAGCTAAATGATGGAGATGGGAGGGGGGGACAATAAGAAATATAAATGTGGTAAAACACTTATTTAAAATGGAAGAAAGCCTGGCAATCGCCCATTAATGCAGGTCAGGTGTGATGAAGTAAAGAAACTTAAAACTTTCCAGACAGACTGAATGGAAAAGCTCCCCAGCCAAAGGAGGACCAGTAAGAAGCTACCTGTCTGCGGTACCTGCATGCCCTCACCTGTCGGCCCTCTTCACTCCTACCTCATTACAAAAACATATTTAAACAGTTTTTTTCCCCTTCCAGCTTGTCTGCTAAGTTTCTCTTAGCTGTGCCTTTCATTTGCCCCCTCTCTCCTGGAATTTCAGACCCGTAACACACCCTCACCCCCGCCCACTCCCCCACCACCATCAAAAATTCATAGGCCCGGGCGAACCGACGTGTAAAGCCGCGAGAAGAGGCGGCAGCGCAGCTCTCCCCATCACTCCCTCTCTTTCGTTCTCCCGTTTTTCTGTCTCCTTTCATCTCGCCTCTTTGTGTTGCCCGCTCATCCTCCCTTACCACATCTTTCTTTCACCTCGCATTTCCCCCTTTTCAGCCTCCTTTCATCTCCCTATCACCCCCTCTGTCAGTGTGGCAATTTTCTGCCTTCACGACAGGCATACAACTGCCCCCCACCCCCCAACACACACACACACACACACACACACACACACACACACACACACTCTTGTTGCTGTTTGACACTGTCAACAAGCAGCTGGAGGTGGCTGTTATTGTTGACGCCTCTGCAAAGGTTCCAGGTAATGAATAAAAGAGAGATGGAGGGAGAGAGATGAGAGAGGCAGAGATAGGGAGGCAGTAAGAAAGGGATGTGAGAGGAGAGAGAGAGAGGGAGGTATGTTGGCAGATTCCCCGGTGTTACACGGCAGCTTGACTATGTCACGTTTGTGCGCTTTGTTAGAGAAACTGAAGCCAACACACACACACACACACACATGAAAATATATGGATGCATATGCACATCCATAGGTGTTTACGCCTCTGAAACAGCTTTCACAATGATGTGACAGTCGCAGCATACCTTTGTACTTTGTTAACGCAATAGCTGAGCCATTATGCTCTGTTTCCGGGTCATTTTTCTCCCAAGCGTGCTGTGAAAGGTCATTTGTGCAAGTGCTAAAAGGTATTTCGAACCACGTTATGTTTTTATATGACAGGTGTTGCTTTTGACATGCTGTGTTGGAGTGTTGAGCAACACCTTCTCTGTTCCAATGCTACTTTTCAAAAGAACACAAAAGGTTTTTGTGACGGCCTGAGATTAAACATCCTTGTCTCAGAAAAACAAATAAAAGTCCTTTAATGTCAGGGACTTATTTTAGGGGTGTTGCGTGATTTAAAGCCAAATTGAGCAGTTTGGGCTTGCTTTTAGCACCCTCTAGTGGCTGTTTGTTAGAACCAAAAGTAAAACTTTTCTCTGTGCTGTGCATTAAACCCTTAATCTAACAGCTGAAATATCTACCCAGCTAGGAGTGGTTCATCACTAAATTAAACAAATGAGCTGTGTTCATGATCTAAAACATGCAAGTAACATGCTGGAAGCAGACTGCAGCGACAGGCATGTAAGCTCAATTTTGTAAGTCCACAGGTGGCTGCTACAAGTCGAAGTTGCAACGCACGTGCGATATTCTGGCCACAGAGGGCGGTGGGGGTCTGAGGGACTTTCCATTGACCCTGTAAAGGATCATTTTAGCACATACTGGCTCAAGAAAGTTATTTAAAAATATGAAAAAGTTGCAAAGTATCCCTTGAACAAGAGAGATTTCTGGTTCAAACAATATTTATCATGGCAACAGTCAAAAATTGATTTGAAGCTTTTGATCTATTCATGAAGAAACTTAATTTGAAGGATGTTTAAACTTCATCGTCTCCATCTCTTTAAATTATAAAACAGACATACTGGTTGCTTGTTCTCCCTGTTCATGCAGCAGTCTCCAGAGACTCTGGTTTTTCTACACTCTAAAAAGTAGCAACCCAGTGTTGGAAAGAGATTAATCTATGTCCACGTGATGCTTACACACAGTGAAACATGCATATTGCCAAGTAGGGATGTGTATTGGTGAAACACGATACATATCACGATACGGGGAGACGATACATTATATCACTAAATATTGTTATACATTCAGTCAGACATTATCGACTTTTTTTGACAGAATTTATTGTAGGAATATTCAATAAACAGTCCAAACTGATGCTTAACATGTTTGACATTTCAAAGGTGAAAAAAACCATTGCACTCTACTGTCAACTAGTGGTCGGTGTTTGAATTGCACAGAAAGAAAAGAAAATACAAAAATGTAAATTCTTCCAAAAATTAAATACACAGATTTTGACTACCAATGTGATATCGCAGGAAAAAATATCACAATGTATTGCCATATAAATATTTTCTTACATCCATATTGCCAAGCTTTTTAAAAGTTAGTAACTCTGCACTTTTTAGTTTGAACTGAAAAAACCCTCTGTTAAAGAGTGAAACATCCTAAAAAAAACAAGAAAACCAGTGAAAGAAAACAGGATTGTCAGTGTCCTAGATGACTGTGAATCTACACCAACTCATTTAGTTAGACTTTATCCAACCAACAAAGAAAAAGCTCCTTTGATCCAATTTGTTCCGTTATGCGTGTCCAGCTTTGCAGCAGTGGCTGAGCTTCTGTTTTACAACTCTACTGTATATCTCCAGCTTGGCAATAAACCAAATTTTCTAAGTCCTTTAATGATTCGGTCAAATCTTTCATTTGATTTTTCTATGAAAGTTTACAGGCCACTCAGGCTTTTCAGTGCTGCATGTAAATCAGATTTGTAGAAACATTAGATAAATGCTTCAAAAAAAAGAAAAGCAAAAGTAATGGTCTAGGGAAGCTGCTGAACACAAACCTCTGCTCTCAATTCTTACTATTTTTTATTTCTGTCGACTTTTTAAATACAATTCAATTCAAAGATACTTTATTAATCCCAGAGGGAAATTAGAGTTTCAGTACACACAATTCTGAGATCAGACATACATACATAGGCATAGACACATGACAAGAATTGGTGACTGTGGTCATTCGCAACCCGAGTCGCGCTACCTTAAAAGAGATCAAAGGGTTTATATGTGAGGATTGAGTCAGGTGGAGGGAAAAAAGGCACTTCAGAGTTACCCTCCACAGAGAGGGCAGCTTTGCTATGCAAAAAACACCTCAGACAGAAATGCAACAGACTTCAGACATTACACAACATAAGTGTCCTCTAGGTGGGGAGGTAGGGTTGGGGACTCTCCACACATCAGTGCATGCAGCCACGATAAGCAGCGCTCATCACCTCCGTTTGGACGGGACAGGGAGGTAGTTGGGTTTAGAGAGCACAGTGACTCCTGGAAACGATTCAACGTCCTTCATCGGTCGCAGTCCCGCCCAGGCTGGGATAGGGAGACAGAGTTGCCATGGCGACGGCAGCATTCCACATTTCTTCTGAGGGGGGGTAATCACTTCAGCCTCACAGGCTCAAGGGCACCAGATTCAGATAAGAACTTGTTTTGGGGCCAGACAGAGATAATTTCTTCTCTGTCTTAAAGTTCTGTTGGTCCTCAACCCCTCTAAATCCAATAATGGCGTAATTAATCTATCCCAGTCTGTGCTGATCCGTCCACTTTCTCCTTGATTGAATCCATCTTCTGAGCCAGAGTCTGAATTTCAGCCAAAGTTCCAAGCTTACGACTCATCTCGACAATTATATGAGTTTGTGCGTTCACAGCGCGGTGTAATCCATCCCTGAGCTCCGGGATTGAGCCAATATTCCTCGACAGCTCGTTAATTTTCCGGTAAGCCAGGTAACCGCTCAGACCAAACAGCAAGAAACCTGACACAACACCACGAATATCCAGACGTCTTCAGAATCCTCTACAGACAGTTGAGAGAGGCAGATCAGGTTCCACTGTTTCCAGGAGTCCATGATATGCCCAGCTGGCTCTGTCCCAGAAGGGCACCCGGGAGCCCCTTCTCCCGTTCTCATCGTTGTAAAAATTGTGTCAATCACGTTGAGAGACCAACTGACCAGGTCCATTTTTAATCATTTCCAGTTTACAGAAAAAATGCAGAAGCGCCGTGCACCCAAAGACAGACAAAGAGCCTTGGGGTAAGATAGGGAGGAGAGGAGGAAAAAAGCGTCTGTCCTCTCCAAGAGCCGGAAGAAGAAGGAAGAACTCTAATTTGACAATAATAATCATTAAGTTTAAGACAAGGTCATTAAAGCTGATTGTCTTTACTTAAAAAAAACTACAATAAAAAATCGGGGATGTTCTTTCTGTCGCTGACAAAACTTCTTGTGTATTCTTTGCAAAAGATGCACTGTTGATTCTACTATTGTAGAATTAAATGTCACTTTTACACTCAGCATTTTTTTCTTTTCTCTTATCTCTGTGCAATATTATACTGGTTTCAAATATTTCCTGCTCCACCTTGATGCTTTCCTCTGCAGCACTTTGTAAATTTTCCTCTTTGTATTCATCATCCAGTCCGTCTAAGGCATGCTGTCAAATGACAGGTTACGCTCAATTCTGTCTTGGGCACTCTTCCTTCCGTGTTTTGCCACTGCTACTCTCTTCCTTTAGTGTGTGTGTGCGCGTGTGTGTGTGTGTGTGTGTGTGTGTGTGTAGGGTCTGGAGTGCTAACCGGGTCTCAAAGCAAATGACAACCCTGCCTTGCTGTGTCAATGTCAAGCCTGTTGCTCAGAGAAAGTCATGTCTGAGTTTGAATGAAAGAAAAGAAGGAAGAGACGATAACTGGGAGGTATCGAGGGCATATCAACTAGAATGAGAGAAGTGGGTGAAGGCATTGGGTAAAAGCCATAAAAAAATTCTATCCTTCAAGCCTCCATTTTGTTGTCTACAGACCAATCTTTGGTCTTCAACATATTTCAGATCCAAAGTGGCCAAAGCTTGGCTGTCTCAGTGCTGGCAAATGTTCTTTATACAGACAATTTTCCAAATAAATGTTGATTTTTTTAGTCGTGCTGTATAAAAGTTATTACTCTCACACACTGAATGGGCTTCATGCATAAAGGGTAACTGGGATTAAGGAGTTAATGCATTGGCAAGAATCTGCTAAATAGGTCTCCAGTGAGCTGAAAATATATTGGTTGTAGCCAGGAAACAGCTGAACAAGCACAACACGAGTACCCATGCTCAACTCTGCACTGATTTATGTTTTATATTATCACTAAATTCTCTTTTGTTCTCTTTCTATGCAGCAGTAAGACCTCTTCGCCCAAAGATGGAGCCGCTACTCCGGGAACCCCCAAGGTAAGATCACCAGCGTGTGTGAAAACACAGGTGTGTGTTTCAGTGTGCACATGGTCAACATGTTCAGATTTTAAAGCAGTTTCATTAGTTTTCTACCAAACGTACCATAATACTCACCATCGTGGTGTGTCACTGAATGAATGCAACCTTGTTTCCAACACGTGCCGTGGTTCACTGTCTTCACAGTTGGTGGAACAAAAAGGTTTATTAAGTTTATAAAGGCAAAATAAAGATGAAAAATGGGGATTTATGAGTTCATTTTCTGTACTAAAGCCTTTTAAAAAGTCTTACTTGGATGTGTTTAATCGCATTTAAATTTAAAGTGGGACTAAGACCCCCTACCTGGGTCTTAGTCCCACTTCCTGTTTGAAGAATGCAACAAATGCTGTTGCCTGAAAGACCAAGAGGGCGGAGCCGCTAACAAATACACACACAATCTCACAATGACATTGTGACATCATAATGTACCAGCTAACGTCACAGTGTACCTCTTAACCAATAGCGATGGCAGATTTAAATTCAATGCAGTGCAGAGTTTTTACCTGAAGAGGGCGCCACATTGACAGTTTTAGGCAGAATATTGAATTTTAACTAAGATGCACTAAAACGCCACATTATTGACTACATGTGTCTAGAACACAATTAGACACTCATTTATATAATTTATAAGTAAAAAAAAAGTTGATTTGGGCGTGAATTGCTCTTTAAATAGAGCCTGCTTTGGAGGATCAAACAAACAGAGTACTGTCGATTTAGATTTTCTTTTCATTATTTTAAGCCAAACACTACCATCAAATTACACATCTGTTCAATAGCATGTTAACGCAAGTATCTAATCAGCCAATCACACCACAGGAACTCAATGAATTTAGGCACCTTGACAAGTTGAAGGGACTTTTACGTCTGCAGAATACCATTTCTGAATCACACCGTGCTGAAGCAGGTGGACTCCAGCAGCAGAAGACCACTGCAGGTGTCACACGGGCTCATCAGAGCTGGATAATCATGGAAAGTGCTCCCTGGTCTGATGAGTCTTCATTTCGGCTGCGATATTCAGATGGTCGGGTCAGAATCTGGTGTCACCAACATGAAAGCAGCAAGGTGTAACTCTCTACAACTGTTTTAGTCTGGGTGATGGTGGAATCCTGCAAGCTAAAGTGTATCTGACTGGCACATGAATGCATGGAGGATAGCAGAATAAATCAGGTGTTTCTTTTTTATCCCACATCACCTGGGTGCTGACCTGAGCTTAGAGGAGCGCTCACAGCGCCTCAGGCGGGCTTGTACTTGAGGACGTGAGACAGAGGAGGGTTGAGGGGTGAATGTCGGCCTTCCTCTGTGGCCGTGACTGTGCATCTCACTGCTGTCGTTTAGTATTCAGCAGCGGGCCGTGGAAAATGTAGAGGGCCAGTCTAAAGCACAGGGGCCTGCTGTTGTCGTCTCCCTGATTGCTGAGCAACACCCACCTCTGCTACACCTGAGATTAACCCCAAAACACCTGCTTATGTCTTTTCCAGAAGCACTTGTGAGAAATTATTCTGGGGGAGGGAAGAAACGTGACACCTGCAGGGCCTTAAACGTTTGACACAGTCAGCTCATGTTGCATACGTGCATCGAAAGAAACGTCTTTTTGTTGCAGATCTTTTTGCTTTTTGATTTAATTAGCAGCTTTAAAGATCAAATTTTGAAGAAGACATTTATTTCTAACCTCTTTGTAGATTACCGTTAAATGTCAAATTCTAATGATAAAACTTGGGCATATTCACAGAACGGCCCCTAGGTAAAGGATTCCTGACCTTTTTAAACCTGAATAAAAGCAGAATAAAGTGCGCACACACACACACACACACACACTCACACACATAAATAGAGAGGCAGAAAAGCACCATGCATAATGTCCAATTTACTGTGGCAGCACTGGAGGTTGGTCATTTCTCACATATTATTATTAGATTACTGCTGTCGAGCACTTAAGCCTCTGCTCTGCCCCTTTCCATTTGATTAATAGGAGACGACTGTAAATACAAATATTTCACAGCTGCCTTGTAAAAAGAGAGCAGCAACGAAGGCATAAATGAAAACACACACACACACCCACACACACACACACACACACACACAGAAAGAGAGCTACAGTCACGCCAAGTCTAAGTTCAATAAAAGTGTGATACTGCCTCTCTCCTCATTCATTCGTTCCTCTTCACGTCTTTTTAACCCATCTTTGGAAGGAATTTGCTGCATCGTGTTGTCTCGGGAAGCGAAGGCTCAATCTGCAAGAGTTAGCTTGCAAAGTGTTGTGGGACAGGCAGTGTCCTGTAAAGTCAGGATGTCGCTCTCTTCGTGTCCAGAAGTCAATCCCGTCTTCCTTTTTTCTTTTCTTTTTTCTCTCATGCATCCCGTCTTTCTTGCCTAACTTCTCTTAACGTCCCATAAACGTTAACTCTAATCAGTGGAAGGGGTTTTATAGACAAAGTCAGGCAGGTTATCAACAATGACGTGCTGCTCTCAGCATCTGGAGCAGTAACACAACTGAAACTCTGCATGGGTAACCTCTCCAAGTCTTTTCTTCTCCTTCTGCACAATAAATCTGTTTTAATAACTTTAACTTTTATTTATGCATAACTGAACATATGTTCTCTTCCTTCTTGCAAAGTTTTACAGTTGAGTGTAGTTTCAATTGCTGCTTTAGGTTTATATGTAACTCATGAACCGACAGCTCGTCAAATTGACCTCTTATGATTTTATATTTTCTGATATTGAACTCAAATTATAACTGTTTTCTCCACAAACTTTGAGAAAAGTGGAGCTCATCAGCTGTTTCAAACCTGTTCTCACACTAAATAAAGCAGCTCTCCTGCACCTCCTTTATTCTACAGCAGTGTTTGGTTCTCCAGTTAATTCACTTCGTTTTATATACTTGAGCCGCTGCTAATTTTCTCTTCTGCAATTGAAACGTTTGGCTCAATTGAACTCCTGCTCAGCCTTTTGACAAGCCTCATTTGTTGTTCAAGGTTTCTCTTTTTAGATCACTCTGAAACATGTTTGGGTGATTTGTGCATTTGCAGAATGAAAAGCTGCCTTGCATGTAATATTATAACCAGTCTTTAGAGAGAGGAGATTTAACCATATATGAGTGAAAACAGAGCTTTGAAACCAAACCTGCACATGTCAACCAATGTGACCCACAGTCAGTCCAGTGTTACATTTTATTCTAATTAGCTTTCTGTACTTGTTTGGCTTTTTTTTTCATAAGATAAATCTTATGTGAGCATTTGTTATGCAGGATCCTTTGCCACAGAAGTAATAACATGATAATAACATGATCGTATGCATAGAAAATCACTTTTGTTTCCCTTTGTCTTCACAGTCCATGCTGCTGTCAGTGCACATCAAGCGTGAGGGAGAATCCCCCGTGGTCTCACCGCTGTCATCTGAGGATGCCCACCACTCTGACCGATACCAGGTCACCACACACACACACACACACACACACACACACACACACACACACACACACACACACACACACACACACATACACATACACACACACACATACACACACACGTACACGCACACACACACATACACACACACACGCACGCACACACACGCGCGCACACACACACACACACACACACACAAACTCAGAGCCCATGTCCATACATTAGGGGTGGGGGGATTCCAGCCGACCTTCATTATAAAGCCATGAAACGGGGGGGGGGGGGGGGGGGGGGTCACCTTTATTGAACTCAGTGGGGAGGGGGGTTGGACGGATCGCTTCTCGGGTTAGGCCTGGGTGTGTCGGTTGAGGGCTTCCAGGGGAGTCCATCACATCCGAGCCCTGATCATGGCGTGCTTCATAGCACTATTACTTCCTGCTCTTGTTTAGAGCTGAGTTTTAAAGCTATCAATCACATCTTTTAAAGCAACACTTAATGTGTTTGCCTGCTTATCTCTCCTACTGGTTGAGAGCGGAATTACAACTGTCGTAAACACCGCAGCTGCAGTCTGCTGTAACCATGAATATGTGGATGCGTCATTGGGCGATGGAGAGCGTAACAGCATCGCCGCCATGTTGGATGGGTTGCTCCCACTCCAAAACCAACTGGAGACATTGCAGAGTTTTTTGGTGCAGCCTACAGGTGCAACAACTGGTGCGCTATTGAAAACAGGTCACATTTGATTTCTATTGACTTTTCCAGCCTGTCTCAAAAAAGTCTATGCATGTATTCATATATGCACTTGTGATAGTTTCCTGTTTGCCATACACTGGTTGTCAAACACAAACGTCCAGTGTTGCACTAAGGCTTATATTTTATTAAAACCCTTCGGATTGGTCTGTATTTACAACGTAGCAAATCCCGAAGAATTAAACCAATCTGTAAGTATGACACATATGACTGTTGTAGAATATGAAGCCAGATTTGGGTTTTTATGCTGTCTCAGCAGTTAGGTTGACTAACAGGCTAATCTCCTTAAATCTCAGATGTCACCCCGACCGCTTTTATCTCTTCTATTCATCAAAGTTTGTTCGGGTAATTCTTCTGGCCGTGATGAATCATGGAGTTAAGTGGGTTTCCCCTCTAGCATCATAAAATAAGAACTATTAAGTCCGTGCAGACGTTACATCCATACGTTTAAGATGACACAGCTCATAAAGACCTTCTAGCAATGAAGGAGATTTTCTCATTTGGGGAAACTGCTGAAATCACCTTATATTATACAAATGATTAAGTCAATGGTGACTTATTTTAGCACCCTGCAAATAAAGTATAATGGCAGACTTTGCCTTCTCCTGTCTGCCAGTCAGGCGGAGTGCACTCTACCTCCTCGCTTCTTGTGAAAACCTGACCTAGCTGCAGCTATTCGGAGAGTGTATCATAATGAGAAGGTGGTGATACGCAGCCGCTAGGACTATAAGTCAAGTGAAGAGAGGCGAAAGGAGCAACTGGGGGAGAAGGGGGGTGCAAAGGCATGGCTGCTCAATGGTTTCCAGTGATGGTAGGTGAGCTGCTGAAGTGTTAAAGAGACGGGATCCATAACTGTGAGAGGCAATGCTTTAGTCAGCAAATAGTTACAATACCCAGGCCTCGAGGTTTGAATCCCCGTAGACCTGAGTGTACATTTAGTGAAAGGCAGAGGTTGAAAGGACAGATGAATCCGACCTCAATTAATTTCACAAAACTGTACTTTTATTACTAAGGTCATCCTTTTTAATGATACAAGTAATGTACCCCAAGCAACCTGGAGTAGCCAGGACCAGAAATGTATAGTTTTTTTAACAGAGGCCACCGGAACACAGTCACTTGATTCATTTAATTAAAAAAAAAAGGGGGGCGGTTCAACTCTTTGGTTTATTTATTTATTTATTTATTTTGGCTTCTACTCCTGTCAAAAATATGATGTGATACACTTGCATTATAATTTATTATTTTGTGTATTTTACAGTACATACATCAGGCAAATAAGATGGCCATTTTCTTCGGATACAAGTTTATTAAAAGAACAAAAACAGCAGTTTTATATTTCCTTTAAATAATATCTTAGATAAACAACTTGAAACAAACATAATCCTACTCTGTGTGACTTGATTGGGCTTTAACAGGTTTTATTATAGTATGCTGTAGTTGGCAGTTTACAACCTGTCACACTTCCAGTGGTGTTCAGACATTAACAGAAAGTAATTATTTTGTTGAACAAACTGTGATAATCTATGTGTTCTTTTCTCATTTTAGGTTTTTTGTAACTTTATTTGTACTTGTGCAAACCACAATAATTTCACAAATGAATGCAGGGTTTATAATGCAGTCTTTTCTCTTGTATATTTGTAAAATACTTAAAAAGTGAAAACATAATTTATAGTGAATGCTCCTACGCTATTTACTGGTTGTAATTAAGCTAAGTTTAATACGTGATTTATTTACTTTTGTCTTGAAAAAATGTATCAAATCAGTAGAGCTTTACAAAAGCAAAATAATCAACTGTAATCAAACCCGTTGCTGCCTCCCAGTGTTCAAATTGCTAAATAACATGTGACGTCGAACTACTTCCGTTTCTGTCGCGGTCACATGATCAAAACAAACCAATATGGCTCCTGATACGAGCGCTTTTAGCCGACACGGGCGCTAATTTCAATCCTTTTCCATCCGCATTTAATTTTAGCCCCAATATTTAATTTGCTGTGATGTACAACATCCTGAAACAGGCGGGAAGTGCAAGCAGCAGTGAGTTTTAGCGGCTGTGGAGGGAGCTGTGGCTGAGTGTTGACAGTCATGGAGGAAGTGGAAAACAAGACAGAAGTAGGTGCAACTGTTGCCACTGTTCAGTAGCCTCCAGAATCCAAACCAATCCCTTACAGAACAGCTACTAACACACACACACACATAAAATACTGGCTGAATATTATTTAATGATGTTTCCTTCCTCTTTTTTTCTTTCTGCCTGCAGACATTTTTACGAGTTCGGGCAAACAGGCAAACGAGATTGAATGGTATGTATACATAACGTCTTTTTGTTGTTGTTGTTGTTGTTTTTGTTTTTTTTTTTTGTAAATCACATCAGACATGGAATATATTGTAACACATCTATATCACGGCTAAAGCACTTCTGGATGGATGCAAACTGCATTTCGTTGCCCTGTACATATGCAATGACAATAAAGTTGTATTCTATTCTATTAACGTCATTATCAACAATGTGGTACTTGGGTCAGGCTTTTTTATTTGTTTAATGTGATAACACATCTTTATAGATTTCCACAGTTTTTGCCACATTTAAAATGTTTCAGATCTAATATATATATATATATATATATATATATATATATATATATATATATATATACTAAGTACAGATTGAAGTTTTGAAATGATGATTTCATGGATTAAGATGCTGAATTTTGTTCGCTGACCTTAAACCTTTCTCTGTGCCAGAAGAGGCATAAACTGAAGAAACGTAAGGGTGCAAATTAGTTTCTACAACATCCTGTATTTTTGTAATCAGGTTACTTTTTCAGTCACACCGTTAAGATTTTTGCTTTATGCAACGCTGATTCCTAAAAAAACATTTAATGATTTTTACAGTTTTTTTTATTTTTTACTTTATTTAGCTTTTATTACAACTGAAACATTTTCATAGAAAATCTCACAAGTTCTCATAGGTTTTTAAAAGTTCTTCTCACAAGCAACCATAAATAGTTTTCATGTGGGAGAAAACAGCTTCTAATTTGGAGGTGACGGGATCTTGTCGGCTCTAATTAGCAGCTGTTTCCCTTTTATTTTAACAATGTTTTCATGATTAGTGTGATGGAAGAGAAAAGCGCGAGGAATTCGCTCCTTCATCTTTCTACCCAGCAGTTATGTGCAGCCTCACGTCCTCCTCTTCTCCCTCTGGCCATCACCTCAGTCCCTCTTGGCCTCCTCAGCTTTCCCAGCCAGCTAAAAATTAATGTCCCCTTGCGCCATTTGCAGTTAAGGAAAAACGACAAGAGACTCGGGGTGCAATGACGGCTGTTCAGCCCTGTTAAATTTCTAATTAAATGTGTGGGTGGAAGTGAAGGGGCTGAGGGTGTGTGTGTGTGTGTGTGTGTGTGTGTGTGTGGGAGGGGGAGTGAGGAAGACACAAAATAAATAAGGATATAAACTCACTTTCAACTCTTTTTTTTGTGCAAATATTGTAAAAGGTGACTCGTTTGTCATCACTATCCATGTATTTACTGTTGGTGACTCTAGCAAAATGTAAATATATTCACGGTAAACTCTCCTGCGTCAGGGTGTCTCACAAAAAGTGTTTCTCCCTTTTGTTTTCTTTTTCCATTTCCTGCTCGTCTAGCCCGTATAGGGAAGATGAAGAGGAGGAAGCCTGAGGAGGGGGGCCAGGTATGTCCGCTGTGCAGCGCCCCACTGGCTGGGAGTGAGGAGGAGATGAGTAGACATGTGGAACAATGCCTGATCCAGGTAGTACAATCCGGGCCCAGAACCCTGCCTACAGAAACGTTGGGACAGCCTGTCTGCTCTTCTCTTCCACCCATCTCTCTACTTTCTGTAGACGCAGAAACAAATTAGCAGCTGCTGCTCAGTTAGTTACTGACCATCTTCTAACTTTCTTCCTATGGTGTACCTTCCAGTTACATGAGTATTTTAGTCCCACACTAATAGGAATCAGCTGTGGGACCCTCTTACACACACTATGTCCTCAGTTACATTCATTTCTAGAGTACAAAAACCATCACTGCTAATTCATTCTCCTTTATCCCAACTAGCTAGAAATACTAATTCCAGTGGTTCTCTCTAGCATGCTTTAAACTCTCATTACTGCAGCATGCTGAATGACCTGTTGCCAGTCAACACTTAAACATCTGCCCTAAGTCGTTACCAGAAAATATTAAAGGTGTAACCACTGAGCTAAAGAAGTAAAATGAGTAATTAGGTCACATGGGTACATTTAATCTGTTGGTTTTCTGTTAACATTTTTTTCCCACCTGTGTGATTGTGTGTGTCAGCGTGAGGGAGTGTTGGCTGACGAGGACTCCGCAGACATGGATGGAGACAATGGGCGTGGCTTTGAGGAATATGAGTGGGCGGGGCAGAAGAGGATCAGAGCTACAGCTTTGTTGGAGGGAGGCTTCAGAGGTATAAACACACACACACACACACACACACACACACACACACACACACACACACACACACACACACACACACACAGATTTAACATTGTTTTCTGCTGGTTGTGTTTTCCACTCACTCAGGGCAAGTTGTTGTGCAGAAGCTGGGCTGTGCGTGCGTGCGCGTGTGTGTGTGTGTGTGTGTGAGAGAGGGAGAGAGACTGAGAGTATGATGGTGTAGATGTCCAGTCCTCTGCTTGTTGGGTGACTGACTGACCCTTCTGAGTTTTAGCATCACCTTCAGTTGCTGCAGTGTGTTCTCTCCTTTCCTCTCATCTGTCTGTCTCTTTCTTTGTTTCTCTACTCGTCCATCATTCACTGAGCTCCTGTCCACTCTGAGTTCTGTTAGGCTTTTGAGACTGATGCCGAATGCAACCAGAGCAATGTAATGGTACCAGTGGTCCGCTGGCTGGCCTGGGGTCAGCCCAGAACCGTTCAGCTCCACCCAAGACAACCCTGTGTGCGAGGGGAAGGAAAACACATTTAGCTGGGCAATTGACCCAATGGTCACCGCTGTGTGTGTGCATGTGCGCGTGTGTGTGCCCAGAAATGCAATTATAGGACTGGATAGGAGAGCCGGTCACTGGGGAACACAGCAGCAGCTCTGACACGCGACACAACTAGTGTGCGATCACTTAGCTCCACGTGAGCCTCAGCATTTGGTGTTTCCTGTTAAATTCCACAGATTCTTTATTCACAACAAATCTGTTTGATTTGTAACTGTTTAACACAATTGTTACCAAGTAGTAGAAGCACGATGGCAAATGCTTTGGAAGATTTTTCTGTTGTGCAAAATAAAAGTGCGAATGCATCCGGAAATTCTCGGACACACTGGTTCTGGTTGTGGGGTAGAACCCAGTCTCTGGGTTCTTGTACATTTCTAACCTGCCTACACTTTTTCTAGTGAATAAATTAATGAAAAAAAATTTGAAAGTTAAAACTTCCAGACGTTATTGATATGTTTTGAAATTAAAGTAACTAAATCCCAGTTTAATAGGCCTGAAAATGTCACCAAATAAAGAGATTTTACAGAATCGCTAACATGCCTTCAGCTGGATGCTTTAAACGTTATGCTTCACATCCAACTCCTATTGCATCCTTGGTTGTTTAAAGTTCGGGCAGAAAGATGGAAGCAGCCATTAAGCTGTGCTCAGATGTGGCTCTTTCTAACTCTCCCGCTTTCGCGAGTCCCTCTTCCTGTTCGATCTGTTGTTAAACACACAAGCTGAGCCTCACCTGCCTCCCTTCTCCCTCTGCTTGTGGAGTGGAAACAAGACAGATCAATGCAGGAGTCTCAACTAAACCACGACAAAGTGAGGCTCTTAGGGTGGGAGGTGGATTCTCCCCCTCTTCATCCATCTCCCAGACGCGCTTTCCATTCGTCCGTCTCACTTTCACATTGTTAAAGTGAGCAACCGCAGCCTGGACCCTTCTGTCGGGCTCTAATAGGGAACCTTGTGATGTGACGCAGATAACCGAGGTAGCCTGTGGAGAGCAACTTGAAACGCACGCGTACACACACATGCGCACGCACACACTCAGTTGGCAGAAGGCTCAGAAGGTGGATTTTGTGTTGAAAGCTCCTCAGTGGTTCTAACACACAGCTGAATCCAGCAGGCTCTCTGGAGCCAAGCGGATATAGAGATGTTGTGGGGGGTCTCCTCAGCTGGCAAAGATGAAGAGAGGGCCTCTTCCTCTGTGAAGTGCCACCATCCTTCTCTCCCTTTGAGAGCCTGGGGAAGAAAGGCGGGGGTCCGGGAGAGGAGAAGGAGGGGAAAAATCGAACAAGATCAGTTTATGATTCAACTCGTTCTGAGTGAAGACTTCCCTGTGTCTCACACCAGCTTAGACAGGCTAAAAGAAGCTAAATGGCTCAGATAGAGAGTGTTCTTTATCTGCCTAGTGGACTTTCTGGTCTCTTTGTGAGCAGCAAAGCACCCAGGTTGTATTTTATAAGTTGGCTAGATTTTGTTAGAGTTTAAAAACACTCAATGAAGAGGATGGATTTAAAGGAAGTTTATCTTGTTTCTTATTTGTTACTTTCAGTTTTAACTCTAGTTCTTTTCCAGCTATTTTACATACTGATGGACATAATGAGGGTTTCTAACTAAAGGTTGGATTGATAATTGATAATTACCAGTTATGATTTAGCCCTGTGGCCGTCGTTCTACTGGTTTAAACATCAAATATTCTAAACCTCGCGTTTACCTTATTATCAGGTTCTTTTAGACAAACTGTAGCAAAAAGATCGGAAGGTTGGTGACTTTTAACAGTTTTAGGTCCAGCCAGTCACAATGCTCTATGTTAGAGAGATGTTGGGCGGGCTTAGCAACAGAGCTGCGAAGGAGAAAACTACAAAGATGGCATCAACTCAGGAATGGTGGTTGTTTCAGTCTTCTTCAACTTTGGACGATTTAGACATGAGCTTTTCTTTGGGATATGAGCAGATAAAGGTATTTAAAAAGCAAGTCACATCAAAATCAACTTTTTTTTAGCTGATAACTAGTATGAATGAGTGTCTAGGAGGGTTGTAGACATGTGTAGTCATTATTTTTGCATTTTGATGCATTTTCTTTGAAAACTCTTAAATTCTGTCTAAAAACGCCAGTCTAGCGCCATCTTCAGCTCAAAAGTATAGAACACGTTTATTTTGAGTCGGTTTTAGCCAGTGGCTAACGAGAACAATGCTACGTAGCTAAGAAAAGTACTACGTAGCATTTCTGTGGCTGTAGGTTATAAAAGCACTGCGGTCCCAACCAGCCTCTCTATGTCGATGATTACCATTCAGAGCTGGTTCTGTTGGGTCGGCTCCGGTGGTTTCAGACAACTCACAAGCTCAAAACAATAAGGCTCAGGTCCGCTTGTCTCCTAATAGACTTGGTCCCGTTTTTCTCAATTGTCTGGGTAAGGAGGGTGGGAAAAGTCCTCCTCTTCTAATGACTGCTCAGAGTGAAAAAAAAGCTAGCTTCATCTTGTTACCCATCCGTCTTCATCATTGCCGTGGCACCGCCCTCTCGGTCAGCTAGGCAACGCCTACTAATGTTGCATTTTTCAAAATTGATACGTGGGTGAAAAACAACTCTGAGGCAGGCTTGACAATTCCTTTATGTCCTTTATTTTGAAAAAGAATGTTTGTTTCTTCTTGGACAGTGTATGGCGGACTGCCTCGTTTACTGATTTGTTGTTCTTTGCTCTGATTGGTCCTCGCACTGTCCGTGTGCATGTGGAGACAATTTGAAAGACAACCGTAGATTCTGTGCCTACAACTGAGCTCTGCCTATGGGTCGTGGCTAGACTGTACTGACATACAGTGGCATGATGGTAGAGTGTCCGCCCTGGGACTGGGATATCGGGGTTCAAATCCAGTCGGGTCATACCAAAGACTTCAAAAGTGGGACCCAATGCCTCCCTGCTTGACTGTCAGCTTTAAGGGGTTGGTATGGGGGGTTTAAACCACCGAATAGTTCCCGAGCACAGCCACTGCCGCACCTCACCACTCCCGATGGGGATGGATCAAACGCAGAGATGTAATTTCACCAGTGTGTGTGATGATGACTAATTGGATAGGATAGGGTGGCTTAAAGGCTATTTGTTTTGCTCTGACATGAAGAGATGTGTCCCTTCATGTCAGATTAGAAAACGAAAACCTAATCAAACTAACAAAACAGTATTAAAGCACTGCAAAGTTCAGCTGATCTTAATGTAAGAAAAGTGTGAGTTTAATCTGTCATTTGAACCAAAAACAGATTGAAAGGGAAACCGTAAAGCTTCCAGACAGATTCTGAGGTTTGATATCGGGCCATCCAGAGAGACCAAGGAGGAGAAGAGGGGGATTATTTTAGGTTAAGGTGGCCCAGAAGGATTGGGAGGAGGAGAAATCTCTGCTTTGTACATGAACTTCAAAGATGACCGTCTCATGTCTTTGTGTCTGGTTCCTTTTCCCCATAGGCCCCCCTCTCTCCGTGACCTGTAAATGGCAGAGAGATAGTGTGGTCACCTTTGACATGCCTCCTTTCTGCTTCTTAACAGGTCCTGATAATTGCTATGGTAACGAGATGTTGCTGAGGTCAGTCGATCGGTCGAGCCGAGCTGCCAGTCGGCCTGATGAGTTCTTTGAACCTGCCTGCTGGTTCAGATCTGTGCTTGTATCCTCGTTGTTGTGACATATATGTAAATTGAGGGTCTCTTGCATTGCTGTCACGAACCGTGTAACTCTAAAGATGAAGCGTGTAGTTGGCATGTTAAAGACTCAGCAATGTTAAGGAGATGGTTGTGATAACGAGGCACACCATGTGTGTGTTTAATCTTCTTTTTGTGGTAAAGAAAATGGAGATTGGTCATCAAGCAGGTCTTGAGGAAAAAGGGATTGCAGAACAGGAGATTATAGAAGGATACGAGGAGGAGAAATTAGAAACCGTTCCCCAGAAAAACTGTAAAAAGGGAAAAGTTATGGAGGAGGAAATGTGAATGAATAAGGTAACAAATAATGGAGTAATTGTAAAAATAGAAGGCAAAACAAAGGTGAGGAAGGGATGAATTAGGGGGAAGAGGGGGACGTTGATGTGGACCTTGAGTGAAAGGCAGTTAGAGTGCGGCTGACCTTTCCCTGGCCAGATTAGATTGGCCTGCCAAGACTGCTTAGAGGAACAGATAGAAACAGCAAGATCACACACATTCAGAGCAAACAGGCCACACACACACACACACACACCCTCACAGTGACGCGTCACAGACAACTACAGTGTGTGTACACACGCCAAGCAGCTCAGGTGTCTGGCTCACATAAAAGTGCAGGTGTAAAAGTTAAAGACCAGCATCACAGCTATACAACAAGTGAAAACATTCTCAGGTTTTGCTGTGCATTACTCTGGGCTCACACGCTGGGATAATAATACAAGCATTTTCTTTAAAGCACATATTTGCTATAATAAAGCTGGTAGTGATGTGAAGCTAAGGCTAAGTCTGTCCACCCACCTGATGAAGCCCATCTCAGCCACTTGAATGAGGGATTTCATCGTTTTAGTCTCGGTCGAGACCTTTACCGATGGTTGGAGTGTAGGCATACCAGTAAATCAAGAACTTAGCCTTTTGGCTCATCTTCTTTACCATTGCTGTCTAAGTTAAGCCCCCTTCAGACAGGCCATGAAAAACAGAAATGTTCCAGAATCTGTCCGTAAGACCTTTCTGTCTGAATACAAACATCCAGATAACGTGTTCCGGAATTTATCCGGACGAAGCCCCTAGTAACAGGTCCGGACTTGTTACAGACAGGGTGGCTGCTTCAGACTGGTGAGGTAAAGTTCCGGACAAGGGGGAGGGGGAGGAGGAGCGCACCTATATAACTCGCTCCTGTAGCATGCGGCGAACCACGGCAGCTCGCCTCCTACGGTACCGTCTAGACGCGCGACGGAGCGCTTCACACCGCTTCAGTGATTCCTTTAACCATTGAGCTTCATCATCCAGGTCTCTTATGCGTCTTCGTGTGCGCAGAATTATGCTTAAACGCCTCGTGATTTTTATCTTGAGAGGCGCTATAGAAATGATATTTTCTTCTTCTTCTTAACATGAGTCCAATTCTCCCCCACCCCACCCCCCGCCGCCGTCAGACATCTGGAACTTTTCCCTGCTGTGTGAACGCAGCCGAAAGGACAAGTTCCGGTACAAAAGTGGTGTGTCTGAAAACACAGTTCCGGTTAAAAACCGGATTGAATTGTCCGCAAATGTTCCAGAATGTCTGTCTGAAAAGGGCTTCAGTGATTTCCAAACTTTTTTCCCTGAGGACCCCCAGCATCGTAACACCCCCCCCCCCCCCCCCCCCCACACACACACACACACACACACACAAAAAAAGTTTACAAGATGTTTAGTGGCAGATACTGGGCCAATTAAAGAACGTCTGACAATATGAACGGTTATACACACGTAACTAAAGGAGTACAAAACTACACAGAAATTGTTTTTTGTGTGGAAGGAAACTGGTGAAACTTTGGTTTGGCAGTGGTGACTGCTTGAAGACGTGGAGGAGAATGAGGGACAAATGTGTTAGAGGTAAAAAGCCTGAAAAACATAAACACAAAATAAACATACAATAGTAAAAACACTATTGTGGACCAGAGACCCCCAGAAACGTTCTGTGCCCTCTGTTGTCCTGGCGGGGAATAACTTTGCAACACTCCGAAGGCAACAAAGAAGTCTGAAAGGAAAGCATCTCCGTCAGTCTGTGTGTTCTACTCTGCAACTGAGTCGATGACATATAAATCAGGCTTTAGATGAAGGTCCTATTTAAATAAAACTGAAATGTAGCATACCAGATATCTTCTTTAATGTTCAGTTGAGTAGAAAGACTATTAACCAATTACATGCCCATACCTAGGAGTCCTCTGTATCGTTGACCCAAAGTAAAGTCTGAAACTATCTAAATGTACATGGACCCGGTCCCAGTCGCCTACGGCACCCACATGTGGAAATCAGCTTCAGGTTATTAATGTTAGTCAGCAACGTAAACACAGAGGAGTGAGCTTCTGGTGGGTGGAGCTAAATCAGGCGACTGAGTTGGTGCTTAGGAACTAGACTGTCACAGCAGCAGATGTTGGAACTAAGCTAACAGTCTGTAGCCAGGCTCAAACAGCGGCACTGCTCTGAGTTCAGAGTGCAGCGGGGTGCAGTCGTTCACTGATGGAAACTGTTGAGTGTTGGGAGTCACACACAGGGACAGGCGGGTTAAATAAGAAAAGTGTCAGCTCTGTCTGCCCCCACCACACACACACACACACACACACACACACACATGCATGCACTAGTCCACCTGAGAGCTTGTAGAAATTGGCATAGGTGTAAATAAGATGGCTGTCAGGCTTGTCACTGGCAGACACACAACACACAGACAGCTTCAGTCACAACACACACACACACACACACACACACGCAGCTTGAATGGTAGGAAGGTTAGTGATATACACTCTTCAACACAAAAACGCACACACACACACCTACCTTTGTGCAGCAGTTTAAGTGACAAGCAGACAGGCTCTCTCACACACACGTGCACACACATGCCTTCAAAGGGATGGAGAGAGAGACGGGGCCTAAGTGACAGAAGGACAGACGGTCTCAAACAAACATGGGAAAGACACCTGTAAGCAACGAACACACACACACACACACACACACACACACACACACACACACACACACCTTGCTTTCTCAAAGATAGGTGTGGCGTCACTCTTCATCCCCACCTCTGACCGCATCTTCCTCCTTTTCTTGTCTAAATATCTTTAGTTGGATTTGAAGAGAAACAAAGTTTAAAAAGCTAGTAAACTGTGCAGATGTAGTTGCACTCGTCTTTTCCAGCCACACAGGGACGTGTGGTGTGTGCTGAGGGGTTTGTGGTCGCCTGTAGCACTTACGTTTCTAGATTTATTTTCTAGCTTTGCTTGTCGGTTTAGTCCGTTTACGTGAATAAGCACTGTGGATGCCTTTCTTTGTCACTTACTAATAATTTATTAATGATCATCAACAGTCTTTCATGAGAGACTTTGAAAATGGACCTGAGAGGCATTTAGTTTTGGTTTGTGTGGGGTTGGAGTCTTAAGAGCAGAGTTGGTGAGGTGTGAAGCTTCTCTCTGAATGATTCTGCTTTTATGAGGCTAGAAAAGGCTGCTTAAAGGGTCTTTGTGGCTAAACTGGACTAACCGTCCTTCATTTATACTTTCTTGCATTTATTAAACGAAGAGAACAAAAAGAAATGCTGAAAATCGTTTTCCTTCCACAGCAACAGGTTTTGCGACATGTAGCATCAAAGAGAGTGCAGCAGACAGCGACGCCGACCTCGATGTAGATGGAGACGACACTCTGGAGTACGGCAAAGCCCAGTACACCGAGGCCGACATCATCCCCTGCTCTGGGGCTGGGGAGGACCAAGGAGAGGCCAGGGAGAGGGAGGCGCTACGGGGAGCTGTGCTCAAGTATGAAGCAAGGGAAAAAAAACATCTTCAACCCTGGTTCTGTCCTTCTGACTGATCTCTGTGTTTCAGTGGAGGGATGCCTTCTAACAGAATAACATCTGAGTTCTCCAAATGGGCCAGTGATGGTGAGAAGGCTGTCTCTCACAGTCACACACACACACACACACACACACACACACACACACACACACACACTAAAGGTTTTCTTTGTTATAATGCATTGGTCAATGAAAACACTCTTCTTGTGGTTTTAACAAATGCAAAAACTTAGATATTTATCTTTTAGTAGAACAGATTTAAATATTTTTACTGTTATTTATTAATTATTTCATCTTTTCTCTAAATAAAAAAAAGGTTTTCAGCTAATGATCCTTCACACGTTTCCCCTTACTTTGTTTTTTGGTAATTTTGTTAAAAAATCTTTTAGCAATAAACGAAATGAACAAAAAAACCTGAATGCATTTCAATCAAAAGCTGAGAACAGTGAATGGGGAAGTGTGAGGTAGCTTAGATGTGATGTTTGTATTATTTCAGGGCTAAAACTTTAGCTGAATACTGAGCATTCATCAGGTGAAGACACTGTTAGTGCTCCCGTTGGCTCATGTCGGCGCTTTGCTTGTCGTTTTTAGTCCGTTTACGTGTAATTGTCTCGGCCATCACAGTAAAGCGTTTAACTGTGCCACCTGTCTCCATGTTTACAGAGATGCCTTCTACAAGCAACGGAGAGAGCAGCAAGACGGACCCCAGCACTCCTTCATCATCCTCCTCCTCTTCCTCCTCCTGCGCCCCACGCACTTGTAAAAACAGCGAGATTGAAAAGTAGGCGAAACAGAAATAATAATCTCGCTTTATCGTTGCTTTTGTCTGTTTGGTAGCTCACATGAGCACACGCGAGAGCACTGTAGGGGTCAGGCAGCTGGTTGTGGTTCATTTACTCCTCGTGATTAGCGTTTGTTTAGTGTGGAGAGGTTTTACTCAGTCGAACCAAAGATTCGAGTCAGTGAGGAAACAACCGGAAGTTTTGTTTTTAGGTTAGAAACAAACTGAAGTTTGTGAGCAGCAGACTAGAAACAGCAGGTCAGGTCTGAGCAAAAGCTGAATATTGTGGACATTTTGGCCCATCACTGTTTTTTATGTGCCAGCATGAGCTTCTGGTCCGTTCAGAATAACATTCTTAAAGCCGTAGCCTTTTGAATGGTTATACTCCGATGGAAAAGTTGGGTTTGGTCTTTTTTTATTTTTTTTTTATCCTTCTAATTTCACCTCAGACCTTTATGTTTGTGTGTGCTGCTGCCTGACGCTTTAGCGGAGGCTTCAGCAGGCACCTGAAGCTGAACACGCTTTAATCTAAGTATCCATTTAAGGGAAGCAAACGAGATGCTGAATGATTGCATTGGAACAAGCAGTCAGCTGCCTGGCTGGATTCATGCCCTACCTCACCCCTCTCTGCTTCCCTTAAATGCTCGTCTTTGTGGGGCTTCTGTGCCCTTCCATCCTCAAATGAAAATGAGATTTGTCTCCTTTTGTTACATTGATACATTGTACATTTGTGTGTGCGCGCGTGTGTGTGGGAGGGGCCTTTCCACAAGGTAGCGTTAGCGAAATCTCTCTTGTGTCTCTGATCCCAGATGGGTAATGATCTGGTCGCCTCCCGGGGCGTCCTCGTTCCCCTGCTCATTCCCCTGCAAGATAAATGAGTTCTCTCTCGTCCTCACACACACACACGCAGACACACACACATACATATACAACGCCTGAGACGCTCTTTCCCCTCCAAGATAAATGGCCTATCCAATGCCGCCAATGCGATTGCTGCCAAATTTGGTGCTCCAGCTGGAACAATACAGAGCGATTTCCATGTGGTTTCTGCAAATAATTGAATCTGTCCTCAATTTGGAAGTGATGAAGCTAGATTTGTACCCCCCACCCCTCGTTCCTCCTTTACATGCGCACACTTTTCCTGTCCTCTCTGCCGTTTCTTCTTCAGTTTTTTGTCTTTCGGTCTCGGTGGTGCGTTTTCTTGTCCTCTTTCCTTTTTTGTCCCTTTGCTGCTGTTCATCCCTCCTCATCCTCTGACTCAATCCTTCCCAGGCATCCCCGCCCCCTCAACTTTTCAGCCTACACACACACAAACACACACACACATCGAATAGAGGCAGGGGAAATCAATAGGGACTTAAATGTTTTATCATGGTGTGTCAGTGTAGTTAAGGCCTCAGTTAACAGGGTGTGGCACAAAAAGATGCTCTGAAGAGATTTACAGCCACTGCTTTTCTGCAACAAACACACACACATAATAACCCAACCTTAAGGACAAATGTTTGTCCAAATTGTTTTGGAAATTAATTAGCATTTCATTTAATCAATTGCATGTTCTTTTGTTGGAAGAGAAGGCCAAAATGTGGACGGACAGCAGATGAAGACACAGTGCTGATTGAGATGGACGGTGGAGATTTCCAGCTGCACACACACACCTGCACTAATGAAATGAGAAATAGCCCTACAGACGCTGGGAGCAGAGCACTAAATAGAGGAGAAGCAGAGCGATCTCTCTGTCTCTGCCGGAATTTCCTGCTTGCTTGTCGCACCAGGAATGACTCCAGATGAAAATGTGTTTCAGTGTGTTTCCATTTGGCTCTGGTGGACTCACCGTGGGGTGACGGTGGCACAGGAGTAAAGTGCTCGCCACGCAATCGGAAGGTTGCAGGTTCGAGCCCCGCTCAGTTTGTCGCTGTCATTGTGTCCTTGGGCAAGACACTTAAACCGCCTTGCCTGCTGGTGGTGGTCAGAGGGACCAGTGGCACCAGTGCTCGGCAGCCTCGCCTCTGTCAGTGCGCCCCAGGGCAGCTGTGGCTACATCGTAGCTCATCCCCACCAGCGTGATTGATTGTGTTGTAAAGCACCTTGTGGGGTTCCAGGACTCTAGAAGGTGCTATAGGCCATTCACCATTTAAAAGCCTATAAGTTAGACTCGAGCATTAAGCTGATGTGTGAAGTTCTCTGCAGCTTTGGTAATCTTACAAAAATACACACATCTTTTTTTCTGACTGCTAAATGTTGGTCTCCACTCCAAACCTTATTGGTTACAGTCGTCATTAATCTTTGTTTACTCCAGTTTATTGATTTCCTGTTGGTTAACAAGTCAAATTTATAGGCAGTATAGTTCTCATTGTGTCCTTCTATTCTGATAAAGCTATTGGCAAAAAAAAAAAAAAAAAAAAAACATTAAAGCATATTTACTGAAAATTCCACGGGTATAGATCCGGTCCAAAAAGCAGAAAACAAAACAAAATATTTCATATATTATTTTAATATTATTAATACATAATAATTTCTCTAATTAGCACCATAAAAATAATACAGTCATCCAGAACTAAGGCTGTACAATGTATTATAATAAACTACAAACACCATCATTCTGCTAAAATATGTACTGTTTAACCAGATGGTCCCCACTCCCTAAATGCGCTCAGCCAGGTCTTTGAGTGCCGTTGTGATGCCAGAACATGTGGGCTTGTCACAACTGAGACATCATCATCATCATCATCCTCATCTCAATATTCAACTAAATACTTGAATTCCATGTTTTCCTAATGTCCCTCATCCCTGTTAAAGCTACAATGGCAAATTTGGAAAACAAGTGAGTTGAAAACCTTTTTTCCATGCCTCTTAACGACGCTTGAACATAGTATACAGTGTTGCCCCTGGAAATTTTTCAAGGTGGGGGGGGGGGGGGGGGACGATTTCGCTGCTGTATGTGTGTGTGTGTGTGTGTGGCGGGGGTGGATGTCGTAGGCGTGGCGCTGGCATTTCTGGCTTAGCTCCACGCCTGAACATATGCAGGGGAAACACTGGCATGGCTATAAATATATGGTCTATATTGTATAAAAATCTCCATCAATAATGTTTTGGGCAAAAAGCAACTGTTGGACCATTCGGTTGTCTGTCTCACCGAATCGCCATACTTCCCTTGGTCCTCCATTCATAATGCACTCGTGTTTTTAGCAACCTAACATCACTGATCTGAGAGGTTTTCCATTCAATGTTAGAGAAGAAGGAACAGCCAGCTGCTACAGCTTCAACTTTAGGACAAACTACCGGAGCTAGAAAAACGGTGATTGGTGTTTAGCAGTTTCTTGTTTCCTCTTCAAATGCAGGAGTTCGGTTCTCCCCATGTACTTAAGACCCGATTTTTATGCTCATATCAGCGTCTCAGGAAAGATAACGGAGGGGAGGGGTGACTGTTCGTTAATAGCCTAGCGTGTTCTATAAATTTGCTAAAACTGCTTTAAATTTAGCCAAGGTTTGCTTAAATAGGAAAAAAAATATCTTTTTTCTGGGATTTATGTTTGTGTTCAGACTAGGATTGGGCGATATGGCCTAAAATCAATATCACGAAATATTGAGGATTTCACCTCGATAACGATAAATGGACGATAACTACAGGGATGCGCAGAAACAAAAGTTTTCCACTAGATGGGGCTGTCACACCTATTACTTTGAGTCACATTTTTATGTGACTCATGGTGGTACAGCTTCTTAAAGGGACATGAACGCTGCAAACCTACACACGTCTTTTTATTATCAAATTGTCTCGATAAGAATCAGAAATTTCGATAATGGTAAATTTTCGATTTATTGCCCAGCCCTAGTTCAGACTTGTTAATGTGTAAATATTATGTAAAGAAAAATTATTCTACAGATTTCTCAATCACATCACTTCTGAAAAAATTTAATCATTTGCCAAACTGCAGTCACATTTAAAGAGAAACGACTCAACTAGACACACATAAGGTATTTTAAGCCTGATGCATTTAGATCTTTGCTGCTCTTTGACTTTTCTCCTGGTTTAAGAATATTAAATATTCAACAAAAACTATCGTGATAACTCCGAGGTATGGGTTACCGTAGTTAAAACTAGTGGCTAAAACTCGTCCTAAACGAAGACACTAAATGTTTAGAAGAACACTTTATTTTAAAGGTTTTGTGAAAGCTCTGTTCATAACTTTTAAATAGTTATATGCTGTTTAGAATAAAATATTTCCTAGGGGTTGTTTTGCTTTGATACTTCTATCAGTATTTAAAAACATATTAATGACCACATTCAATTCAATACAAGTTTATTTATATAGTGCCAAATTGCGACAAGATTTGTCTCAAGGCACTTCACATAGTCGTCAACAAGATGACTTGTTTTAACAAGACGACTTGTTTTAATTTGTTTTAACAAGATGTCTTGTGTTAACAACAAGACTACTTGTTTTAACAAGACGACTTGTTTTAACAAGATGTCTTGTGTTAACAACAAGACTATTTGTTTTAACAAGACGACTTGTTTTAACTTGGGCCCTGTCCACACGTAGCTGGGGATCTGCCAAAACGTAGATATTTTTCTACCCTTTGGCCTGTCATCCACACGAAAACGGAGTTTTTTCACACGAAAACGGATCTTTTTAAAAACTCCGGCCAAAGTGAAGATCTGCGTTTTCTCCGTTTTGGGTGTCTGCGTGTGGACGGACAAAACCGGAGTTTTAAGGTCCGCAACGTCACTTTCCGCGACAAAAAATGCTGACATCACGTGTGCGACCTGTGTTTACATTAGCCGGCATCATGGAAGCCTTCGGAGCTGCGCTCTGTCACTACCCGATCCATCAATTGTCCAAGCGCTTTCTGCTTGTTTGTTTTTGCAAGAGGAATTACTGCTCCTTGCGGAAGACCACAGACGACGGACGAGGTTAAGAACGGGGGAAGTACTGCCGCCTACAGGTCTGGCATGTCCTTAACAACGTATTTATCCGGGTACGTGTGGACAGAGTTTG